ACAATCACAAACAATCACAAACAATCACAGACAATCACAAACAATCACAAACAATCACAGACAATCACAGACAGTCACAAACAATCACAAACAATCACAAACAATCACAGACAATCACAGACAGTCACAAACAAACACAAACAATCACAAACAATCACAGATAATCACAAACAATCACAGACAATCACAAACAATCACAAAAAATCACAGACCGTCACAGACAATCATAATCACAAACAATCATAATCACAAACAATCACAGACAATCACAAACAATCACAATCACAAAAAATCACAGACAATCACAAACAATCACAGACAGTCACAGACAATCATAATCACAAACAATCATAATCACAAACAATCACAAACAATCACAATCACAAAAAATCACAGACAATCACAAACAATCAAAAACAATCACAGATAATCACAAACAATCACAGACAATCACAAACAATCACAAACAATCACAAACGATCACAATCACAAACAGTCACAGACAAGCACAAACAATCACAAACAATTACAATCACAAACAGTCACAGACAATCACAGACAGTCAGATAAAGTCAGATACAGTCCCAGACGGGTCTTACCTGGAATGACCTGGACGGACAGCGCTGCCGTCCCGAACTCTCCGGTGGCTCCGTCCACGGCCCGCAGCTGTGGAGGTTAAAGCTGTGACAGGTGGAGGAACACAACAGACAAACGGAGGGCGGCAACCACCGAGCCGACCTGCCTTCACCAGATGAAACAACATAAAAAATAGACCTGAAAATAGATCTCTTCTCATTATTACAAGATCAGGAAAGACGTATTAATTTATTTAATATTTTCTTTTTTTTCTTGTTATTCATGGGTATTTATTTTGTGATGTAACTTTATATTGAACTTCTTATGGTGTAACTTTTACTGGAAAGTGTAAACTTTGGTCAACTTGGTTGTTGTTAAGCACCATATAATCAATCAATAAATCAATCAGCAAATCAATCAACCAACCAACCAACCAATCAGCAAATCAATCAATCAACCAACCAATCAGAAAATCAATCAATCAACCAACCAACCGACCAACCGACCAACCAACCAATCAGCAAATCAACCAACAAACCAATAAGCAAATCAATCAATCAACCAACCAATCAGC